CAGGCAGGGGCAGCACACACTCAGCAGGGGCAGGCAGGCACTCTCAGGCAGGCAGGCAGGCAGGACACTCTCAGGCAGGGCAGCAGACACTCTCAGCAGGGGCAGGACACTCTCAGGCAGGCAGGCACACTCTCAGGCAGGGGCAGGCAGCACACTCTCAGCAGGCAGGCAGACACTCTCAGGCAGGGGCAGGCAGACACTCTCAGGCAGGCAGGCAGGGCAGGCACACTCTCAGGCAGGCAGGCAGGCACTCTCAGGCAGGGGCAGGCAGCACTCTCAGGCAGGGCAGCAGGCACTCTCAGGCAGGCAGGGCAGGCAGACACTCTCAGGCAGGCAGGCAGGCAGGGCAGCAGACACTCTCAGCAGGGGCAGGCAGACACTTTCACGCAGGGGCAGGCAGACACTCTCAAGCAGGGGCAGGCAGACACTTTCAAGCAGGGGCAGGCAGACACACACACGCAGAGGCATATTCTTATACATGACCATTTACATAAATACATGTATACTCGCTTAAATACATTTGTCCAGTAACATATGCATGTATGAATATGCTATGAGATGGGAAGAAACTATATGATGATATACTGATACATGATATAGTTTTAGAGAACAGTGATGATATATGCAGTCTTGTGCATGTTAATCATTGTGTAAAGTTCTATATAGAAGTCTGTAATTATATTTTTAGTTTTTAAGAGCATTCTTTTACTATATCATAATCACAAACCAAATACATTTGGACTTTAAAAGGTTTCCTTTGACAGTTTTAACCTGTGATAAACTAACCAATAATTGTGTTCAGCGGCCCTCCTAGTGGGGTCAACTGTGCATGCAAAATGCAGTCAGGCCCAAGTAACCCTGCATCAGTGGCCCACAGTCCTAACTGTATCATGTATTTAGGGGGGTAAGACTAACCTGTAAACCAGTTTTACAGTAGTTAGCGTGTCTGCGTCCCAGTATATGTTGTACAGCTAAAGAGCTAACAGTGTCCATAGGTTTGTAATGTTTATACTGGATGTATCATGAGGCTTTAGGGTACAAGAACAGCTTTTATTTACTTTAGTTATTTTTCTGGTAACCGTTTTCTTGCATCTAAACATTCTGTATATTTTTTAATTTATTTTTTTCAATTTAGTTTTTGTTATCCTGTTTATTATTCTAAGTAAGTTGCTCTCAGAATTAACACACCATCTGCACAAATATTTATGTACATTTCTATCTCTATTTGTGTCAAAGTAAGAGCTTTATGATAGTTGTGATTTAGAGAAGATTATATATGTAAAATGTATATAACACCTTAGAGAAGTTGGCACCTTGTTGAGTCAAGTCCTTATCAAAGGAGGTATCAGTTTATTGCACTTGCACTAGCAAGTAAACCAGAAATGTATCTGTTGAACTTGTAGCTCTAGAATGCACTGCTGTGGAACTTAGAATGTCCAGTTTTTATGAAGTTTTGTAATGCACTGTTGTCAGTTATCATATAGAGATACTTTGATATAAATATCCATTCTTATGCTAGATATTGAATGTTTCAAGGTCATTTGTTTTCAACTGAGAGTATACATGATCTTCCCATGGAAGATTTATCTGCTGATTATTTTTACTTTAGTGATTTTTATTTTTAATGTATTTATAATAATTTCATAATTTTATTGATGTTTATGGTTTTAAAATGGCCTTTGCATTATTTGCTGGTTATGCATGTACTCTTAATTTCATTGCATCTACCATCAGCCAAAGACCCTCCCTTTTTATATTATCATTTTTAGTTATGTCTGAGACCCAGTATGATAATCAGTACATCTCCTCATCCCAACAGAGAGGGAGACCGCATCAAGGTTGCACAGGGAGTCAGTGGCTCCATTGTGGATAAGGGGTCCATCCTAAGATTCCTGCCATACTTGGTGTGTGGCATTCAGCATGGCTGTCAAGACATCGGTGCCAAGTCATGCTCAATGCTCAGGTTAGTGTCTTCTTATGCTGAAGCCAGGAGGGTGAAAGCAGCCTGAAAAATGATCCTATAGTTTGTTGTTTACTTCTGTAATTCATCCATTAAAATTATCAGTGATTTTATACATTTGTCTAAAATACACATTCAAATACAAATAGAAACAAGTACATCTACAAGAGCACACACAAAAAAAGATCCTGTTTCACACTCAAATTGATGCTCAAATGCAACAAATATGAAATGCACAAGCACAGACTGGATATATGATATAGACGTGTATACGTGTATTTTTAACGAAATTATTTAGAAAAGGCTTAGAATTTTGTGAATATTTTTAAGACAAGGAGTATAGAATTCAAATAATTAAATACTGGGAGAATTACAGAAGCACTTAACCAGGTAGATAATGCTTAGTTTTAATAGTGTTTTGCATGAGCACTAAAACCTATGCATGCTTAACTCGCATCTTTGCATCTATTTATCTTTTGTGTATCTCTCATTGCATGCATCTGTGTTTCAACATTTTCATATAAGAAAGGTATCATTGTTGGTTATACATATTTTTTTGTTGTTGTAAACTACGGTATTATAAAAAAAAACATTTAGAGTGTAGAATATTAACAATTAAGGGTTAAAGGATTTTGTCTTATTAGAGAAAAAATAACAACTTTGTTTTGTAAAGCATTATGAGTCTGTGGTAACATAAGGTGTCATGTTCCAAAACATATTATTGGTGCATTTACACCAGGATGTGCTTGTAAATAAAAAGCATGGTCCTGCACATACACAGAATAGCATGAACATAGAAATATGTAAAAGCACATGCACTTCATATACATATATTTAATCTTTTCTCTACCCTAGGGCATTTTCTGAAAACCTTGGATATTTGAGTGGAGGTAGACCCTTGTATAGACCACTTGATTGGAGTATAGAAATATAAACAACATTATGGTTATAAAAGAATCATTCAACAGCAGTAAGAAATCCTGAATATAATTTTTATTTACTATAATAGGGGATTATTGATAGTACTCGTGGGTAGGGAATCCATCTCTGAAAAGAAAATATATTGTTTAGGATTATTGTTATTATTATTATTATTATTATTTATTATTGTTATGTTTATTATTTATTGTTATTGTTATTATTATTTTATTTTTTTTTATTTATTATTTTTATTTTACTGAAGAATAAAATTTAATTGGTTGGTTCTGCTTAGAATAGCTGAATATTCAAACATTTTTTATTTTTACTCCCTTACCAGGAATGATTCAAATGCTCTAGTGTAGTTAAAAGCAAAATTGTATCAGAATAAAAGTAAAGTGAAAGCAAAAATGCTTTTTTTGTTTGTTTGTTTATTTACTTTACCACTGACTGGAGATGAGTCAGAAGTAAAGAACATCAACTTGAAATATCTCTAAAATTACTTTGTCTAGAGCATGTATTAGTAAAATTAACACAATCAAGATAATTTAAGAATTAATGCAGAAGTTGCCATTGGTGTGCTTATTACAAGCTAAACCAATTATTCAATATTCTGTGGACAAATGGGGATGACATGCTCTACAGTAAATATATTAGATTTTGTTTAATGATTGTGTATTTTGCAATATGTAGGTGTTTGTGACAAAACTGTTGGTTAATGATTATTGTTAATATTTTTTCACTTGAGTAATCAAAGTGTCTTACATTTATTATCCTCAGTATTACTACTCTACAGTCAATTATTGTTAGAATTGTGATTATTGTTCCATACATGTTTTCATCAGATGTAACTTTTAGGCATTCCATACAGGTACATTTATGTTCCCTTGAAGATAGATGTTATAATCTAGTAGGGACTGGAATAAGACAATGTGACTACTACAGCATAGACAATGTTACCTTTCTCTTCTTTGCCAAGCATGCTGTTGGTGAATGGGACATTTCAAATATCATGTCTTCTGTAGATATTCTTTCCCTCTTGGTGGTTGATTTTGCAAATGGTGTAGAAAGTATGAAAGAGACTTGGATTCTTAGTTAACAGTGCATAAGACCATGAATGATTTCTTCTTGATGTTATTTAGAATAAAGTCTGCCATTTGACAGCAAGGAGTTTTTAGCTCTTTGTTGTTTGGCTTTATAGAGGATAACCATGGGCAGAGATGTAAACGACCATTATTCTCATTTTTATTCTATAAGAGAGATGTCCATTTATGTATTGTAGGATTAAGCTCAGAGTATGATAACTGCCTTATCAAGATGACGACATAGAATTAAACAAAGCTATTTATTTTTATATATATCTTGTGGAATGGATAAGTAGGCAATCCCAGTTATTGGATAGGAATTTATTCCATAGAACAATTATTGGATAAAGAGTCAGTTTATACCATATGATTCTTAACCCATTGACATCAAGAACATGAACTGTTTACTTTTTTTGCTTAATATATGCCCCATAAGTGTTGTGGGGAAAAATAAAATAAATCTATATATCTATATCTATATATATATATATATATATATATATATATATATATATATATATATATATATATATATATAATATAAATATAAATATAAATATAAATATATATAAAAATATATAAGTATATGAATATAAATATATAAATATATATATATATATAAATATATATATAATGTAGTAGACAGTTGGAGTGTTTGGGGATAAGGTTCTTGACCACCATCTTGACCCAAGAAAATTAAATAAAAGCATTCTTAATTACCACTTTAGACTGACCAGCTGACTTGAAATACCTCTTTCCTGGTGGTTCATATTATGTGGCCTATCATCCACTTAACCAGCACGATGATGCAACTGAGCGTCAAATTTAGTACAGTATACACTGCACTTCATCCTCACCGTCTTTTTTATTATTATTATTTTTTAACCATGTAATGATAATAGGCCTCCATATTGATATATGAATGGGGATGTCCCTGTTGGCTTTGTTACCTAGGCTAACATGCAGGCCAACGGATGCATTTAAAGTATCTATTGAGTGGTGTAAATGTTGGAAAAACAAATATCCCCACTGTCAGAACAGTAAAATGTTAAATAAGGAGTGGTTGGATGATGAGTGGTATATGTATAAGCTGATAAATATATATGGATATTTTCTGTTTAATTATTCACTTAATATTTTTCCATTCATGCCTCAAAAATAGTTCCGTTAGGTATAGCTCAGTGTGTTTTAGGGAGGTGAATATTGTGTATGGTAGAAGCTTGGCATAGTGCTTAGTAGTTAAGGGTTATATTATGATGTGCAAGCAATATTTAGGCTATTGTTTGTAAAATTGTGTTAATTGAAAAAGCATTTGAATTTCATCATATTCTGTGATATTCAAGGTATTTTGCCATTTCATGTATTGTACTGTTAGCTTTTATGAATTCAGACATTCTTTCTCTTTTTTTTTTTATTGGTGAAAACCTTTTTTTTACAATTTTTCACAATCTCTTTCTTGGAACTTGCAACTTTTTGTGATCTCTTTCATTACTTTCTTCAATATTTACTTTTTAGAGATAAGGAGACTGCTTTTTCTTTGGTATGTATTTCCTGTATTGCTTATTTTACATTTCCTTACTAGTTCAAGTGATGTTAGTGGATGATTATAATGATGAAGATAAGATTATTCCCACTTTTTTCATAATGTAACAAACTATAGTAAACCTTTTGAAAATTCATTTTTGAAATAGATATATAGTCTTAATTTTATTTTAAAAGTAAGATATATATGCTTATATATTTTTCCAACCTTTTGGTCCCTTTTATGGTTTATAATATTAATGTTTGTTAAAAGAAATGTATTTATTTATTGATCTATTTTTTTTGACTAACATGTCTAACCCTGCTGGAATGACTTTTTTTTTTCATAAAGGACAGAATAAATCTGTCCTCTTTGTCATGCATCTGTGAATGTGTTTGGTTTCTTTCCTTTGGTAAGATGCTGAGTTGATGATGTTACCTTCTGATCAGCCTAAGGAATTGCTCGTCCTAATGCCTAGCTGGTCAGGGGTTTCCATGAACTTTTCCATCTTATGGTGAAATTTCCCAACACATTCAGAGTGATTACCCTATGTACAGGTCGGCTAAAACAATCCCTCTCAACTGACCAGGGCCATGCTGTATAGTGGTGAGCTGAAATTAGAGAGGCGCACTGTCTCTGCACAGAAAGAAGGTGCAGTGCATAGTCTCCATTCGTACGAGAAGCGGCTTTACTAATCACCGATCAACGTGCCAAAAATCTGTTGTCAGGGACTAAGTTTTGCAGGAGGTTGAATGATTAACAGAAAAAAGTTTTTTGTTTTCACGTTTTATTTTTTTTTATGTAACTTAAATACATTATTGATTTTGCCTTCTGCATATAGGAGCATGATCTGTGATGTGATCTTGTCAGTGATATGATATTTAACTACAGAATATTTCTTTGTGGTACAGTGTACAATTTTAGTAGTATGAATGAATAAATACAACTGTATTTGCAAATGTTGAATGAAATTGCACAATACCTATTGTACAATAAAAGCAGTTGGACATGACATTTTACAAGCACAAGGACAGATGCAGTTTGTGAAATATAATATGTGAAAGTGTTTTCTGTTATAGGAGTCAAATGAGCATGCAATATGCAGATCTACATTTTCTTCCAAAAAAATATGCTTTGATTTATTACAGATATATTTTCATTTTCTGAGCAAAGTTGAAAAGAAACTTGAACTAGTAGGTTTGAAATCCAAGGTATAACTGGTGTAGCTGTAGGATGCAGAGTTTGTATTTGAAAAAAAGGCAGTAAACAGCAAAAATTATTATTTGTTAATTCATCCTTAAATGTGTATGAAGGTGGCTGCACTTGTGTAATATGATGTTTATGCTTACATTACTGATGTGGGAGTATCCTTTTTGAGGGAGTTTGCTGTCTTTATTGTCAAAGATCATAGGTATTGCTTATGTACTGTCCCAGTAAGTATGAAACCATAATGTGAATATAATTGTGAGCATCAAATTATGATCTTGAGAAAATTTTAATCCTTATTTTTTTGGAACTTCTTGAGATAAGCTTGTATTTGGTATATGCCATTGTTTTTTCCTTTTAATCCAAATCTTGATTGACTTCACAAGTTGCTTAGTCTTGTCAGCTTGAGTGCAAGTTCTCAAATAGCATCTTCAGAGTATAATATTTACCTCTTTTTTAAAGTATATTTTGATAACTTGGACAAAATAGCTGTTACTCATAGATAATATGGTAGAGGATGGATGATGTTAGATCTGACAAAGCATTTAAGAAATTTCTTTGCTATGCCATACATGCAAAGTACAAAACTGAAAGACAAACTTCCATAACATAGAATGTTGAAGGTAGTGTAATGTTTTCAAGTATACAATAAGATAAAAGAATTTCAAGTCAATCAAGTGTTGGAGAGTGACTAAATCTATACTTAGATTGTCAACTATAAAGTATGGGCTGTAACTTTGTTTTTTTATGTGTTATTTAATTATATATTTGCAGGAATTATGTGTGAATTGTTAAAATTGCTGAGTGATGCATCTCTCTCGTGTACTGTGCCAAATATTATGTGAGCAGTGTGCATTGACTCTATATATGTATTGATGAACTTTGAATATTATCACATTATTGTTATTATTATTATTTATTAGCATGGTGGATTATATATTTTTTATGATATTTTAGCAAATGATGTTACAGTCTTTCTCAGATGTATTATATAAAACAAGATATGTACATTTTTAAAATAAAAAAGTTGTTCATTCTCTTTCAAAGTCTATATTATAGGTTATGATTTATTAATTTTGAGCACAGGTGTCATATTTTGCTTTTGAGTTCAAAGATCTTGTGATGTAGCATGACAGCCTGAAGATTGTTTTATTAAATTAGTGTTATGTTAGTTCTGGATGACCAACAATATTTGAAGTGTAGTATGTGATATTTTTCATGTCTTTCATAAGGATTTTCAGATATCCCATAACCATAAGTTTTTCACTTTCATGGTAATTTGACCTGATAGCAGTATATTTAGTATATTCATAGTCTTGTCTTGATAATGGCATAATAAAGTAAGTAGTTGGTTTTACAGTTATTTACAGCAGTGTGTCTGCTCTGTTGCTCTCTCAGTTTTGTAATTCTTTTATTGTCAAGTGCTGTGGAACAAGAAGTAGGGGATGAAACGTAATGTGAATATTTTTGTTCGGTTTCATTTTGTTTGATGCTCTGATGTATGCGTGGGGCTTTCCAGACCTAATTTGAGAACATGTTTGGTCTGAACTAATTGCTGAATCCTAAGGGTGAAGGTGTGTGTGTCTACTTGAGTGTGTTGAGTGTATAACATCCCAGAAGACACTTGCATAGTTTTAGAGGAGATGGAGGCTAACCAACAGGTATGAGCTTCAGTTGGTACTTTTACAAAAGAAAAGAAAAGATTGATAATGTCTGGGTTAGGATGTCTTAATATGGATGGCTTAGAGGGAGGATTTTTAATGAATTCTTTTGGTCATGTAAGTAGCTTTTGGTTTTTGAAATACATGTTCAAACTTTTTACATTGCGGTGTATATGCAGATTTGATAAGATCAGTTTTTTGTTTTGTAAATGTAAGGGTTTAAGATTCTGTAGCCAAAAAACAAAACAAAACAAAAAAACAACAAAAATACAAAAAAGAAAAAAAATATTGAGTTAAGTCCAGTTATGAGCCTATAGAAACCTTTATCTTTTTAACTCTCTATCAACCATTTGTTTGCAGATCCATGATGTATGCAGGTGAACTGAAGTTTGAAAAACGCACAGTTTCAGCTCAGCGTGAGGGTAATGTTCACAGTCTGTTTAACTATGAGAAGAGGCTCTTCTAAGATTACACCATGCTTTGAGGGCATTTTATTCAATACACACATTGAGCAATGGTACAGAAGGTAATGTAAACCTTGATATATCGTCAGTTGCTTGTTCAAATATAAATATTGCATCCCCATGATAGCTTCTTGCTTTGGAATATGTGTACACCACAAGTAAGGTACAAGCATTCATATTTTCTGTATAGATTTTCTAGAATAACATTAAAGAAGTGCTGGTGGTTAGTATTGTGGTTTCACAAGAATTTCACTACGTAATGACCAGTTTTGATATTTTTAGTAAAGTGTTTAAGTGATGTGGAACAAAAGTACCGGTGGCTTGTTAAACATTTACAAGTAGATTAATTTTTAGCATTGGGAGAATCATTACACCATATCTTCTAGGTGTTCCATCTGCCCTTTGTGATGTGGGATTTCTTGTAAATTTATCTGTAACAAATGATTTTGCTCATTCCAGAACCTTTTATATGTTTTCAACTTTATACTGTACTTTTTATTTGAACTCTTTTATATGCTATAGTTGGTGCCAGTCACTAATAGACTTTGGTTTCCCGGGTTTTGGATGGCATTACAGGGCGTCTGCTAGTGATATAGTGATTGTGTGATCCAATTGATAACATTTGGAATTCTTTCTAGACTTGTGGTTTATTATTGACAATTACGCAATTCCTCAAAATCTTATGCTCCAAGTCCTTTGAATACATTATTTTTCTAAGTCAATGGTGCAAACCAAAACATCAGGAATTTTTGTATCCAGAATCTGATGCACGGACTATGGCAGAAGATAGCTTGTGGTGAGATTCTTGGTTGTTGCTGTATTGGGCCGGGTGTGAATTACCCTTGTATTGTTTTTTTGTTTTTTTTCTTCAAAATATATTAGACTGAAATAGAATAATCTTCCCTGGTGCTCATCCTCCTCTCAAGCCACTCGTTCTGGATCAGAAGTTGGATAACAAAGTAATGACAGTGTGCCATAAAAGTGTGATAAAAATAATAATCTCAATTTTATCTATAACTCTTACAAGGGTCCAAACTACAGACATATTTTCTGATATTAATGTCAAATATGATGTCTTCAATTCTTCCATCTGTTGTAGTGGATAAGATTAGTGCTAGGATGTTTGTTCCTTTGTAAACTTTGTCAACTGTGTTCATTACATATAAATAAACTACAAGGTGATGTTTTTTTTTTTTTTTAGATCCTTTACTGAATAACACGTTAGATTGATTTTAATGAGGCATATATTGGAACCTTAATATCTTGCAACGTGTATCAGTGAGCAATGCTTGTAATGCACATATGTTTGTTCAGTATAGACACAGTAAGTGCATATCTGTGTGCGGATACATGCTCTCGTGTGTGTGTGTGTGTGTGTGTGTGTGTGTGTGTAAGTGTGTGTGTAAGTAAGTGTAAGTGTAAGTGTAAGTGTAAGTGTAAAAGTGAGGGGTGTGTGTGTGAACTGGTAGAATTGTTGTACCAGGATACTGAAGTGTCAACTGACTTGTATCTTGAACTGGTACCCTTATTGGATATAAACATGTTTCGTTGGTTAGATTTACCACAGAAAAAGACAAGATGTGGAAACTTGGGCCCAATGTTGGAGACCTCCTCTTTGTGAATCAACATTATTTTGCAGCATTTAAAAAGACCAGACATAGTTTTATAAATGATAGGTAATCGATATTTGATTGATACCAAAATTATGGAGTTTCTCAGTTCTTTGGTAAACTTCTTAATTCCCAAAGGCTCTAATTTGGAAAATCAGCACTCAAATTTAGATGCAAATAAAACCGACCGCATGTCACAGCAATTAATATCCAATGTAACAAATGGGAATTAAAACTCAATCTTAATTAATCTTAACAGTAGAGCACCAACGACCAAGGAAGATTAATTAACGAAAGGTAGAACGTAAACAGAGTTGCTAATGACTTAACAGTAAAAAAAAAGTGATACCCCAAGAAACCAAATTGTTGGATATTGAAATGTCACCAAGAAAAACATCAAAATTAGGAAGGAAAAAATATCTCGGGTCTCCAAACCTGAGAAAACCACATCTAAACATTAACAAATGAGCTAAAAAAAAAAAAAAATCTTTCAATGTTTTGAAACCGTGTCATACATTTTACACACACAACACACACACACACACGCACACGCACACGCACACACGCACGCACATACACACATATACACACACACACACACACGTGTAAAAATAGAAAAAGAAAATAAGAGAAAAAAACAAAAAAGAGAGAAAAACCTTAACCGAAATCTGAATGCACGAACACAGACACCTTCGGCGCAGCCCGCCGAGCCGTGTCCCGTTGTCCGGCGCCGGAGATAAATGTCGCTTGGCCACGGCTTCGGCGGAACTAGCTCTTAACTTCATGACTGCCATGGACAACTTTTTTTGTTGCTTTGCATGTTGATATATCGTAGCACTCGTGAGTATGTACTGATGTATTTATCGTGTGAAAGTTTGAGTGGTTTATGTTGTTTTTGTGTGTTGCTCTTTTAACATGTTTACCTTTTTGTTGTTCCATTTTGTAGAATAAGGAATGCGTGGAAGAAAAGAAAAAGAAAAAAAGAGATCTCTTTAACTCGATACTTTAATGGTGATTGTTCTAGTTTTTTAAAAGATCCCCAAGTCGCTGTCTTCTATAAAAGTTCGTTTACAGTCGTACTTAACTTCAAACTGACATTTACGTATTCTCGTTATAAAGGATGTCGTTTTTTTTACATCACCAAACTGTATACTTTTTGTATTTTGGATTAGTTTTTTCTTTTCTTGTATTGAATCTCATATTGAGATTTTTCATATTTGTATATATACTCTCGTATAGTATGTATCAGCACACACACACACGCACACACACGTACACACACACACACACACACGCACACACACACACACACAACACACAACACACACACACACTACACACTATATGTATATATATAATATATAATATATAATATATATATAATATATATATATATATATATATATATATATATATATATATATATATATAATGTACACACATACACACATGTTTACTTATTACTGATTTTCATCCTGTCATGCATATGAATATATTAGGATTTTTATGGATGTAAAAAATGCCACTTTGAACATAAAGCGGTTTAGCACATAAAGGTAAAAAATAAAAGATTGTTTTCTTTGAAACATCTGTTTTGAATACAATAAACAGCTGATCCACAGCCTTGAGACATTGTGTTTGAAGAAATCATAAAGGTCAATTTACTCGTGAATATTATGTTCCAAAGACCTAACCGGAGCTAGACTCTGGAGCTGCGAGGACTTCTTTGTGCCTAATGAGTGGTAGGAGGGAGGGAGAGAAAGGAAGAGAGAAATAGAGAGGAAGAGAGAAATAGAGAGGAAGAGAGAAAGAGAGAGAGAGGAAGTGAGAGAGAGAGAGGAAGGAGAGAGAGAGGAGAGGAGAGAGAGAGAGAGAGAGAGAGAGAGAGAGAGAGAGAGAGAGAGAGAGAGAGAGAGAGAGAGAGAGAGAGAGAGCAGAGAGAGAGAGAGAGAGAGAGCGAGAGAGAGAGAGAGAGAGAGAGAAGAGAGAGAAGAGAGAGAGAGAGAGAGAGACGAGAAGAGAGAGAAGAGAGAAGAGAGAGAAAGAAAGAAAGAAAGAAAGAAAGAAAGAAAGAAAGAAAGAGAAAGAGAAGAAAGAAAGAAAGAAAGAAAGAAAGAAAGAAAGAAAGAAAGAAAGAAAGAAAGAAAGAAAGAAAGAAAGAAAAAGAAAGAGAGAAAGAGAAGAGAAAGAGAAAGAGAAAGAGAAGAGAGAGAGAGAGAGAGAGAGAGAGAGAGAGAGAGAGAGAGAGAGAGAGAGAGAGAGAGAGAGAGAGAGAGAGAGAGAGAGAGAGAGAGAGAGAGAGAGAGAGAGAGAAGAAAGAAAGAAAGAAAAGAGAAAAAAAGAAGGAAAGAAGAAAGAAAGAAAGAAAGAAGAAAGATAGAAAGAAGAGAAAGACAGAAAGAAGAAAGAGAAAAAAGAAAAGAGAAACAGAGAAATGCATGTGCCTAACTGTCTCCACGCATTCTGCTCCATCCAAGACACACTTCTACGATGGCGACCACCACGGAGAGAACAAGACCTGAAGGAGACAATTGATCTGTTAAAACAACAACAACAACAACAACAAAAACGCGAAAAGTAGTTGTAGCAGCAGTAGTAATATTTTCTCCGGTCTTCTTCTTCTCATCCTTCTTGTTTTTGGTTATTAGTACGGCAGTTTGCAGGTGGAATATAAATACGTCACGATAGCGTATGTCTGTTTTGTTTATTGAAAAGGATGTAGGTTCGCTAAGGAAAGAAATTGATAAGAAGGATTTTAAGAGAAGGAGACGAAGGCTAAGAAGAAGAAGAAGAAGAAGGAAAGAAAGAAGATGAACAAGGACAGAACAGAACCAAAAAATAAGGAGAAGAAGAAGAAGAAGATGATGACATATATTACTACTACTACAACTACTAATGATAATAATAATAATAATGATAATGATAGTAGTAGTAGTAATACTAAGAAGAAGAAGAACAAGGAGGAGAACAAGAAAAGAAAAAAGAAGAAAAAGAAAAGGAGAAATAAGAAGAAGGAGGAGGAAGAGAAAAAAGAAGGGAAAAGGGAAAAGAAGGAAGAGGAGGAAGAGAGAAGAGAAAGAGAAGAAGAGAGAAAAGGAAAAAAAAGTAGGAGAAAAAGACGAAAAAGAAGAAAGATGAGGAGGAAGAATAAAGAAAAAAGAGAGAGAAGGAGAGAGGAGAGGGAAGAGAGAGAAGAAGAGGAAGAGAGGAGGAAGAGAGGAAGAGAGGAGAGAGGAGAGAGAGAAGAGAGAGAGAGAGAAGAGAGGAAGAAGAGGAGGAAGAGAGAAGAAGAGAGGAAGAGAGAGGAAGAGAGAGAAGAGAGAGAGAGAGAGAGAGAGAGGAAGAGAGAAGAGAGAGAGAGAGAGAGAGAGAGAGAGAGAGAGAGAGAGAGAGAGAGAGAAGAGAGAGAGAGAGAGAAGAAGAGAGAGAGAGAGAGAGAGAGAGAGAAGAGAGAGAGAGAGAGAGAGAGAGAGAGAGAGAGAGAGAGAGAGAGAGAGAGGCAATCTATCTACCCCCTTAAACCTAACAATTCCCTCAAAAATTTACCATATACTCCCTCCCTCCCTCTATCTCTCTCTCTTCTTCTTCTTTTTCTTCTTCCTCTTCTTCTTCTCTCTCACTCACCACCCACAATTCCCTCAAAACTGCAGCCACATACACTCACCGCCCACCACGACGAGCAGCGATCCGACGAAGGAGTTGAAATCCAAACTGCTGACGAGATTCGAGGACTTGTCTGCTGACGGAGGCTGGAGGCACTGGGTCGTGTTGGTGATCTCCTTCTTCAGCCACAGGTCGATGAGGCCGGCTTCCTTCACAGTCTGGATCCTGGAAGGGTGGGGAGAAAAGGAGGGGGGATAAAGTTGTGGAAAAGGAGAGAGAATGGGGAGAGAAGGGAAGGGGGATAAGTTGTTGGAAAAGGAGAGAGAATGGGGAGAGAAGGGAAGGGGGGATAAAGTGTGGAAAAGGAGAGAGAATGGGGAGAGAAGGGAAGGGGAGATTAATTAGAGTTAGGGGGGATAAAGTTGTGTAAAAGGAGAGAGAATGGGGAGAGGAAGAGTGGGGAGAGAAGGGAGGGATAAAGTTGTGTAAAAGGAGAGAGAATGATAGTAAAATGGTTCTTTAGATACAGGGGCTGGTTGGGGAGAGGAAGGGAGGGATAAAATTGTGTATGAAGAGATAGAATATAAAAATTTTTCTTTCCATACAGGTTCTTACATGGTCACATGTACCACACCACAAACACCACACGAACAGCACACCACCGCCACACCACACAACCACCACAACCACAACCACAGCACCACACCACAAACACCATACACACCACACCACAAACCACCGCACACACAAACACCACACCATACCACAAACCACCACACCACACACCACACCAAACACCACTCTCCCTACTAACCAGAAATTAGCTTCTCTCTTGTAGGAAGAATTCGTCTTATAAGCCATAGCGATCATTACGTTGCTGTAGGCCGATTCCCTGGACATGTAGAGGTGGCACTTCCCCGACGTGCTGGAGGGAAAGGGCAAGGGAGAGAAAGTAGGTGAATGAAAGGAGA